ATCTTAATGTTAATATTAAGAGCTAAAACTTTCAGGGATTTTTTTTATCAATTTGGAAGCATGTAAGTCCTTGGGAGAAAAGAAATTTGAAAATGTTCATAACAAGGATCCTAATATATATATATATATATATATATATATATATATATATATATACTTTAAATTCGAAATTTACGAGTCATATAATCGTAAATAATTAGCTTGATTGGAATCAACTCCTATTCATTCGCCTCCTATTCCATATTATAATAATTAATAAATTTTTGATTCAAATAAATTATTTAATATATATATATATATATATATATATATATATATATATTGTATAAGTTTGAACAAAAACAACTTTTTTCAAAAACAATTTTATAATAGTGATAACATTTCAAGTTAAAATGATTTAGATTCATTTAAAAATTTCTTTCGAATAGATGGACGTTGATTTATCGTTTTCCTTATTATTTATTTTATTTCAAATGTTTTTTGGCATTTATAATGCGAATAACAAGTAATTCATTGAAAATTTTATTAAATCATTCAAGAAAAAAGTTGTTCTGTTTATAACTACCATGTGTATTTTATACTATATAAATAAAAAATGAGTTTGTTTATATTAACGCTTAGTAGTTTACTCCATAAACTAAAAATTATTTAATTTATATTTTATATACATATGAAATATAACCAGCAATATATATATATATATATATATATATATATATATATATATAGGGGTGTAGAATAAGGGTGTAGAATATACTTAATATATCGTGTGTCGTGGCACATGTGTTGTGTAAGTATGCGTGTATGTGTGAATAAATTTAATTAATAAAAAGATTTATTGCTTCAATTTTTTCTATTGATGAAGAAGGACAGAACTAAAATTGAATCTTTTGTATGCAACAACCAAAATATCCCCATTGCTATTGTGTGTTACTATTCTTAATTGCGTACATTACTCAACTAGGAAATATATCGTAAGAATAAAGGTGTACAGATAATCTGTTGAATACATAGAACTGTTACAAAAAGCAGACGGTGTGCGCATACAATACTTGTGTAGAACTCTACCATATAAAGCAGAAGGATAATTAGTTCTAGTTTAATCAAACAAATACAATTAGCATACAAGTACCTACTAGACAGTTTCATGTTGCGTCTAATTCAAATTAGAACAATGAAATATAGCAATTGTAAATAATTAAATTTAATATTCACCAAAAAACAATTAGTGAAAAGCGCCAAGTATGGAATAGACAACAAATTAAAAATTCGAGATATTATATAGTAGTTCCACCGTATATAGCTTACTATTAATAGCGCGCAGATTTTCACTTGATACTAATTTTATGTTTTTTTTCGATGCAATTTTATTTGAAAAATGAATGATACAAATTTGTTATTTTAGGTGAATTTAGAAATCAATACTGTGATTATTATATCAAACATCATGACTTTATTTATTTTTATATTTAATATTATACATTTTATTGTATTATTATATAGAGTATCCCAGACCTTGACGTCAAACCGATCAAACCGTATTGACCTTCACTGTCCTGAAAAAAAACTAGAAAAAAAATCTCAAAAATTATGAGCTTTTAAGTGCAACTTAGAGCTTTAGTAAAATTATGACAATTTTTTGGCTAGTGTGGCAAACTTTTATTAATCTTGTTCATATAAGCTTTAGTACCGTAACCGTGAATAACATTTTTAGGGCTACAGAAAAAATACTACAATTGTACTCATTTTTCAAGAATTAAGACTTATTGCTGAATTTTTTTTTTTTTTTTAAATCGGTCAAGTTTGAACTGCTCTCCTTTTAAAAAATATACTAAAGTGTGTTGGCAAGTTTCATCATAAGTTTGCGCATTTAATCAGAATCGTAAAATTGTTTTTGGTTTATTATTAAAAATTATCGAGTAAAAAATAAAAATTACATGATTTTGCTAGTACATTTTATTCCCATTTAGTTCAAATGTTTATCACGACAAGCATTTGAACTATAATTGTGTGTAAAATGTACTAGCAAGAATCATGTAGTTTTGAAGTTTTTATTTTTTTTTTCAAAATTTTTGAAAAATAGAATTATCAAGTATTTTACTATTTCACAATCCTGGCTAAATGCTCCAACTTCTGATAAAACTTCCCAACACACTTGTTTCAAAGGTCCTTTTTTAAAGAAGGACCTCTCAAAGTTGTCTGATTATAAGCATTTTAAATTCATAGTTCAACAAAAAGTCTTGATTTTTTAAAACCTTGGAGCTATTGTGTTGTTCCAAAGTTTAAATGAAAAAAATTAATAAAATCAACAAAATTGTGGTTAACACAATAACCGAAAAATGGTCATAATTTCACTAAAGCTATAGGTTGCACTTAAAAGCTCATAACTTTCACACAACATAAGATAATTTTTCTATTTTTTTTCAGGACAGTTCGTGTCAATACTATCACCCCATTGCGGCTTGACGTCATGGTCTGGGACACCATTTATACATATGAAGTGACCACGAGTAGAAATATAATATTTTTCGTCTATATTTTTTAGAATATTCTTTTAAAATGCATTTACAAGTTATACACGTATTACGTATTTTCAACTATTTCAACCCTTTCACTACGAGCGTCGTCTATAGACGACATCCTCTAGACGGCTTCTATAAACGAGTGTCACCTAAAGAGGACATAAAATGTTCCGAAATTTGCTTCGATACTTATTTAAGTTAAATGATTGAAACCTCTTATTTGTAAGTGTAATTGATATTTTCCAGAAGTGTAATTTTTGATTTTTAGAAACATTTTTACTGATAATTATTGGAAAATATTAAACCACTTTGTGTAACAAATACTTGGGTAGCTTGCTGACTCTTGCAGCAGTAGCAACTCAATGTAAGTTGAATTAACAATGGTTTCGAAAAGCTCATATCTCATCAAATATTGTCATAATATCATTTTATTTTTGAATTTTTTTAGTAGTTTCGGACCGTGTACATTTCTATATTCAATCTGGTATGATTGATTCATAATTTAATCTTTTATGTTTTTCAATTTTTGATAGACCATGACGCTCATACAATACTAATTTGTAAGCCCTACATATTTGTTTTGTTATTACTGAAAAATGACAGTATTCCATACTTCGCTATATTCCTCTAATAAAATTAAAATTTTAATATTATCACGGTTGTTATTTTATTTATTGTAAAACTGCCGATCAGCATGTTATTATGGTTAGAGTTTTCGTAAATATATCAATTATTGAATTAATTGTCGAAAACACAACAGCATAAAATTTTAATAATATGTAATATAATTAATAGAATAAACTGAAGAAACAAAGCTATTATTTACATGTTCTAAATATGCATTAAATAAGTTAATATTTATAAAATAATTATTGAAAATAATCTTCTGTTGTATATAATATTATTCTACACATACAGCATACAGTGTGCTCAAAGCATGTGTCAGAGTTGTTAATACGGTAGCAACTATCACATATAGATAATGTTAATAATTCAAGAAAATAACTTTGTATCAGACAGAGGCCAACTCAGGATAAGTGTGTTTTACGCGTGGTTATTTTAAAAAATATAAAAAATTAAAAAAAATCAGACCAATCGGAATTAATAACATACAACGCCCAAAGAAAGAACCAAGTAGTAAGCGTTGAGGTATGTGCTCGTTTAATGAATATTAATGATAAAAATATTATCCATGATAAGTAAATTTGTTTAACACTTAAAGTATACAAGTCAAATTAAAATCTATATATCGCTAGTTTTATATAGTGTACTTGAAAATTTGTACTCACATCTAATAAAATTTACTATTCAAAAGAAACTAATAATTCTAAGAAATTTCAGAGTATATGGACCGTATTTTCACTAATTACCATCACAAGCACAATTGATATTATTAATATCGTGAAGGAGGTATTCTATTATAGAGGCATGAATCTTAGATCATTTTTAAATCATCGTAAAAAAGACAATACATTTTTATGCCATCATATTTTTATAATTTCTTAATCAACGTTACAAGAGCACAGATTTTTTTTTAAAAAAAAGATAATAATTTTAAAAATTAGCAGAGGTTGAAGACCACGATTACAATCTTTCTAGTAATCCAGTATAAAAAAAAGATTATTAATTTACAATAATGTCGCTATGGATATACTACTAGGATTGAGTTTTTGACAAAATGGTGACTGTTTGAGAATAAAGAATCAATTATTTACAACTTTGAGTTTTTCGTTTTTTTTAAAACTAGTAAAAATTAAAGTTTTGAGATTCTCCGAAAATTGCCTGAGAGATTCTTCAAAAATTCAAGTGAATCGGCCCAGTAGAACTCGAAAACTTGTGGGCATCTTATTAAGAAAAAACTGTTTGGAGAAAAACGCGTTTAAAAGTTTTGCAAAATGAAGGAAACAGAAGAGGATTATCATGGTCAAACAGCTATATCTCCAAAACTAATTAAAAATTTTAGAAATCCTCTCGTACACATACTCTTATACAGTTAAACTTTGAAAACATGAAAAAAAGAAAAGACAATTATTTTTTGAGTTTCTACACTAGAATACCCCTTTAAATTTGGCAAATTGAGGCAGTTTACTTTGAAAATTGACCTATTGAATTTTTATTTTAAATATATCACTATGATAGTTGTAAAATTTAAATCAAATTTGTTTTATTGAACTGTTATAACATAGAATTGTACGTAATAATAACTTAGTTCGCGATCAAAACAATGATTATTACTAAAAAGCTTGAATGTAAGAACTTGTAGATGTAGATGATCATCATCATCATCAAAATTCATAAATCAGGAAAGTTGGCATTCGCAGTAATAATGTTTATCCTATTTGATCACTAAACGTGCACATATCCTCAATGTTGTTATAATAAAAAGAACATACAAGAAAAGTAAGTCAGTAATGAAAATAATAAAAAAATTCGAACTAGTTAGTAGAGTGTACAGGACAGACGATTTTAGATGCTTACCAAGGGGCTGGCCAAGATAATGCCTATCCGGCTGAGAACAGCTGGCAGACGCTGCAAAATACAGTTTTTACAAAAGAAAAAAACTTAAAAACTAAAGACACAGAAATGTACATAGAACGTACAATAGTAATATGAATTATATTATTAGAAATAGTACCTACAGGAAAGAAACAACAAAAACATTCTTAGACTATTATTTTCAATGTTCTTTTTTAACTTAATAGATTGTTAGTAATTTAAATATATTATCATAAAAAATCTAAACTTAAATTTCAATTTCAAAACCTAAGTCCTAAATTTGGTAATGTAATGCTTGACTACTATGGAAAATTGATCATTATCATCATTCCTAAAAACTATTATGATTAACTATCGATGATGTGGAGCCAAGTTTAAATTTCATATTGTTGTTGAGATATTATGTGAATCAGAATTTTGCAATATGATGCATATATTTGTACAATATGAATCCTCACAAAAATAAATTAACTTTTGAAAAAATAGATTTGCATAAATATTTTGTGTTTTTGTAGTAAAAATGGTTGAATTTTTTTTTATTATAGATACAGATTTAAATGATATTAAATTGAAAAAACACGAAAGATGTGTTCTTTAACTACGACATTTTTGGCGTTTTTTAATAGTGTACTAAATATAATGATAGAGCACTATACCGATGAATAAAATGACAAAATTTTCAGCGTATTATGTAGCTTTGTTGCTTAAATATCTCACAGAAAAAAGTTGCGAAGATCATAAACCGATATTAAAAAATTGTAGAATAATAAAATAGTAATAACGAAAATTCTTAAGATCATCTATAACATATGAAAAAGAAGAGTAACACATCGGAAATGTGCTGTACTAATTAACCAAAACATAGAAAGGAAAGGCCAGGATTACATTTGAAACTTTATGCGTTTAATCAAACGTTGCAATTATGCAACAATATATGCAAAAATTATTTTGTTTCAATTCAACATGAAAATTTGTTGAAATGATTATATATAAATGAAAGCACGTTATAATTCATCTGTAATCCAGCCTGAAGTCACAACATCTAACACACATTGATGCAAAACACCAAATACTTTCTTCAGAAGATATATATATATATATATATATATATATATATATATATATATATCAGAATGAATCATCGTCTAATAATGTTGTCAAGCCAAAAATTCAATAGGACATAGAAACATAATTTTGAAAACACAACATTGAAACAAAATTTTGGAAATAAATTAAGAACCGATTCCGGCATGAATATATAAAACAACACTTCTTAACTTGAACTCAAAATTCTTATTATAATTCATTAAAATTTGTCGTCAAAACATCGAATATCTTTTGTTATGTAGTAATATAATCAACATTAAATAAATCACAAGAATTTGTTTGGAGCATATATTTTAATAACTGCAAAAGTTGTGTTTGTAACCACTAGAAGATTTTATTTTTAATTTTAAAATATTTGATATTATTTTTAAAATTCTGAAGTATTGTGAAATTAAAAAGAAAAGTTAATCTTTTAAAAGTAATTTATGAAAGATAGTATTTGTTATTATGGATATAATTATAATCGTATGTTTTAAACAATTAAATTAAAAATCCCTTAAAACTGAAAATATTAACTTAACCTTTGAGTGGTGGATACTAACGACTTGCTTTCATAATTATTACTTAATACTAACACTAAGTCTTGATGTTTCTTAAATTAAGTTTTAAGCATGATTATATTTGGAAAAAAAATATTCAAAAAATTAAGGTTTTATGAAATTATTACATTTGGTATAGAATCTGAAGTAATTAAACAACATAATTTTACAAGAACGTAACAATATTATACAAAAACTTGCTATAATTTGAATTTCACGACATGATTAGATTAGTCTAAAATTTGAGAAACGTATTTTTTGTGAAAATGTAGATGATTCACATAGTGTTCGGTCGTATTTTCGTTTCAATATATTGACCATAAAGGTGACAAACTTCAGGGCATTAAGCTTTACACGGAATGGTTGCTGGTAAGGGGGTATTTATAACCAATAAATATATCTTCTTTCATTATAACTTAGTAACAAATCAGTGATTGTAATAAAGAACTGCAACAAATACATAATAAACAAACAAATCAGTGTTTAATACAGTCCACAGCCACAAGGGTTAAATTATAACCCAACAACTTTAATTATCGAAGGAGAGTTTTAATAAATTTCATAAGTACTTAAAATAATTTCACATAGGTTTTCAAAATATGAGTTCGTTAAACGATTAATTGCAATTATCAAAGAAAAGAAGAGTTTTATTCTCATATATAATTAAATTATATATTTTGGTATAAATATTTTTCTCATAATATATTTTGCTTTGTTTTACATTTCACACAAAAACCTCATTTTATGCGAATTTACTTTTCATAACAAATTTTATGAATGTATACTCAGGCTTGATGATGTTCATTTCCCTTAATTATATATTAAAATTACAGGTATGTTATATTTTTGTGAAATCTGCGTCACAGACAGTACTGCAAGGATATAATTTATGCAAAACGAAAAATAAAATTACTCAACAGAACAGTTCGAGAACGAGCTGACTCTGGATTTGTTAATTACACAAATACTTATATACACGGTTGAGGTAATTCAGAAAACTCTGTTTGTTTTATAACAGTTTTAAGAGTTAATTTGAAAGCAATTATGAGTTTAATATTCTGCAGTAAGAAGCATATAAATTGTTTTCACATTCCAAGAGATTATAAAATAGAAAATTCACTGTAAGTGCGCACAGACCTCAAAATGACAAACGTTTGAAATAAACATTTTCATCTAAATACAGAATCATTGTAAAAATTTGAATATTATGTAATACCTTTACAAGTAATATCTGGTAGAGTAATTGGGTATGATCAAAATCGGCTTAATTTTGAAATGTGGTTACTTAGAATTAATACGGGGTTAAATGCTAATTAATCTCTTTAGTCCATATATCGAAATCTGGTTAAGGTAATTGAGGTATAGAAATCAGCACATTATAGTATATGAAGTTACTTTAACAATATTTGTCCGCATAATGTTTTAGAATTTTCCTTATATTATCATATAATTTTGGTTTGCGTTATTATTATCGACTAAATTTCAAATTTTATATATCTCATTTTGTTTCAAATTGATCAATATTAAATCAACAATAAAATTTATCAACTTTAGGGCGAGTTGTGAGTTGTAACATACAAAAATTATAAACAATTTCAAGTAAAGAAGATTGAATGGAATGCATATAGTTTGTAAGATATGGGCAAACGTAAATTATGTTACAGGAGACACTATATCTTTCATTTATATTATGATATTCATTGTAGTTGATTTACGATAAAAATTTATTACAGAAGACATTATATTTTATCTATATTAATTATAGTTTGCGTTGCTTGAGAAAAATTACTTATTGTTGGAAACAATCAATTTCTTTAAAAATGAGTAAAAAATAAATTATCGGATTAATTATTAATACTACTTTCTCCGGTAGATGTTATAACTAAACCCAAACTCGGGGTAATTTGAAACACCGCACTTTTTCTGGAAATTAGTTAATTATTTGTGGAATTATTTTTACTCAATTGGGTAGAGGAATAGTTAAAGCAACTATACATTTCTATTTTGTAGAAATATAATAAGTAGATATTAAGATATACTAATTAAATTAAAAACTGTTACAACAAGCTCCTAGCTCCCCTATCACTTTATAGCAAAACATAGCTTTTTTGTAAAGTATTTGAAGTACTTATAATTAGATCACTTTCACTTTAATATTACATTATCTTGCATTTTAGTTTAACTTTTAATCCTGACTCAGAATTAATGCAACTGTAATTGGTTTGTATTAATTTATTTAACGTCGTTGTATTAAAACCTTTTCGAGTATGTTTAAAATATTCCTAAAATTGCTTTGAAGGTTTTATGTCAGAACTATTACTGTATAATTGAAGGTATAATGAGTACTGCTTACTACTAAAAAATTTTATTAGTGGGCAATTAATAGATTTACTGAACGCTATTAATAGACAACCAACGGTTGGATTTTTAATTGAGATATTGCAGCAATTCTACAAAGGACTATTTTTGCTTGGAAACTTAATGCTCTCTATATTTCTAGTGAAAATCGATGTCACTATTGCTTCATATCAGGCTGACCGAGTTCGTGGTTTCAAACCTGTAACTTTTGATTGAAATCCCATAGCTATAACCCCTAGCCTAATCCATGAAAAGACCACGTCAGATATGAAAAACCTTTCCGGAAAATTGTTATTTTCAGGATACAAAATTAGTTACTATATTTTTTTCAAAACAATTTGTCACTAACTCGTATATATTCTGAGAAAATATTAAATATAAAAAAAGCTTCAAGGCTATGACTATTTATTTCACAAATCAAATTCCGTAGAAAACTGTTGGACAGACCAAAAAACTGACAACAATAAGTCAGACTTCGCAGTGTCAGAACATTGAGCTCTATAAATGCTCTGCGATATGAAATTGAAATGATATGTATATGTATTTAAATATAAAGCAAAAACCTTTTAACTAAAAATGTGTTAACTCATTCTCCATAAAAATATATTCCAGAATCGCATGTCTGGCGATTCAGAAAAATCGTGATACATGTTTTATAGCACAACCTACCGAACAATCCTTTATTAATGAACATTTCAAAACTAACGTTTATTTTGCATAATATTCAGGCTAATAAAGATGATAAAAATTAACTATATAAATTAATTGAGATTTTTTTTTAATTGGCTATCTGAATTTTTTTTGAAAATTGTTTGTTAGTTTTATTTATTTAAATGTAATAGTCAAAAGTAAAAAGTAAAATTGTATTTAAAAAAATAAAATAGAAGAGCGAGAGGCTTATTGTAACAAGAGTAAATTGTAACAGGCATAATATTGTCATATTATGCATCCCAACGCAGTAAATAGAACTGTGCAAGTGCGTCATTTTGGCAGATTATATAAAATTGAGCTATCAAAAAATATTATTTT